GAAACTCCGGTCACTAGGCTCTAGTTTCCATGTGAGTTTTCTTTTTCCCCTTTCCTTGCTATCGGATACCTAGCAATAGGTTGGAATTCATCATTGTGGCAACAGGTGGCCGCCCTCCTGTGCCCAATCAGGTTGTGTCAACCTGGAAAGGGGGAGGGATTTGTGTGTTTCCGTCTGTTGCCTGCCCATAAGCTTGGGTGTAACCCAATAACTCAGCCGCCCTTGGAGATGAAAGCAGAGAAAGTTTTGCTGAGCTGGGCTTGCAGAGTCACCTGGCATCTGGTGAATGCTTTCTTTGGAGGGTCTGGAAGCCCAAGTAGAGAACTGAGCCCCCATCCTAGAGGCTGCTGAATTGTTCCCTGCACTGCCTTCTTCCTGAGTGGAGTATGTTGCATTTGGATCTTTCGGTTGACTTACCTGCAAATGGCTTTCTTGATGGAGATGGCTCTGTGGTATGGACATGTCTTTTTTGTTATTACCTGTCCTGTAAGTGGCAAGAAGAATGTGGATCAGTGCATCAGCTTAGGAAAGTGAACTGTCGTTGAACTACAACTCCGAGAATCCCCTTGAGGATTCTGGGAGTTGTAGTCTTAAAAAGTAATCGTTCCAAGCTCTAGGTATAATTTCTGACGTGGAAACCCATTTCATAATCAGATCTTTTTGGAAAATTATAGTCCACTTAGATAAATTTTAAACTTTACCTGCAATCTTCTTTTGAGCTTTGTGCTCAGCTTTCCTGAAAAGTTTGATTTTGGCAGATAGCAAACTTTCCCTGTCTTTCTAAGGAATGGATGTGGCTCTAAGGAGCTTCTGACACTGAGAGGGGAAGTGCAGTAAAATAAAGAAATCCGAACGGAGATGGGAAGTAAAGGGAGGCATTATTGTCATAGTTTGCTAGTTACGTGATGCAAGCAATGAGTTACTTGTAATTATTTCCTTTTCAAAGTAATTGAACCATGAATAAGATACACATGGGGATGTAACTGCAACTGTTTCTGTTTCTTTTACGGTTACAGCACATGAGCGGCTTCATTATTTAGGTGAAAACAAAATAAAAATAAAAGTAAGAAAAGAAAAATTTGGTGGCACCTTAAAGAGTAACTTCCTTTTTTTTAATATGAGGTTTTAGTCTTAGAGTGCCACCACATGTTTGTCCTTTTTTTTATTTTTCATTTTGCTTTCATCTATAATGCTGAAAAGAAAAATTTGGTGGTATCTTAAAGAGTGACTTCCTTTTTTTAATATGATGTTTTAGTCTTAGAGTGCTACCACATGTTTGTCCTTTTTTCATTTTTCATTTTGCTTTCATCTATAATGCTTGCACAGACTAACATGGCTAGCCCTTCTATAACTTCATTATTTAGGTATGTATCGTGTTGCAAGTCAGCAGCTTTGTTGTGCTTCTTTTAAATGAGTGAGTAAAACATAATTATTCTGGGTGGTTCTTGATAATGAAAAGGTAAATAACTCTTAATAGGGAGATGTATATCAGTGCAGCTGGCTGGATAGCTCAGTGTTTTAGGTATCTGGCTGTGGAGCCAGATATTGAGAGTTCGATTCTCCATTGTGCCTCCTGTCTGGCCTTGGGCAAGCTGCACAGTCCCAGGGCAACTCCAGAAGGAAGCAATAAACCACTTTTGAATACTCTCTACCTAGAAAACCCTGAAAAGGACCACCATAAGTCAGAATTGACTTAACAGCACATGACTATGTCAGTAGCTAATTAACTAGTTTTCTCCTCTCCCACTTTTTGGGTGCTTTGTATTTGAGAACCTTTGCATTTTAAAAGTAACTATTTTAACCCTATTCATCAGCTGCATGAAATTGCTTTGGAATAATATGTAAACACAGGATTTGACAGGGTGTTTGAACGAATGAATGAAAGGCCACTTAGTTTTTGAAAGGGACTACCTAGACCATCTCTGGCTTTTATTTATTTATTTATTTATTCACTCTAGGTGGCTAACAACATAAATACTACAATAAAATTGATATATAAACAATTATTAAATAATAAAACATTACACAAAATGAAAGGAATGATAAGAGAGGGAAAAGGGTGTCAGAGGGCGTCGGGGATTATCTGATGGGAAGGCCTGCTGAAACAGCCATGTTTTTAATTGATTCTTAAAGATACCCAGCGAGGGGGCCATGTAAATCTCAGGAGGTAAGTTGTTCCAGAGGTGAGGAAGTCCCCAGATTGGATTGTGATTTCCAGAAGCCCTGACTGGGATTTCTGGCAATTAAAGTCCAACAGTATGTGGGGACCCAAGGTCAGGAACCACTTTCTTTTGTCTCCTCGTTGATATGTAATATGTAGTGCACCCAAGCATTTTATTTACAGTAATTCCTTTTTCCTGATTTGGTGTAGAAGCTGTGCCCTTTTTCTTGCCTTACGAGGCAAGAAAGCGGCCTTCCTGTGCCAGCTGTTCTGCAGGGAGAAGCCAAACTGGTTGGGATGCAACCTCAACTACCAGAGGGAGGGTGTGCTGTAACTGCTTTGATTTTGGAATGACATCCGCCCCCGTTTACCTAGATGAAGCATGGAGGTTTAGCCAGCTGGGGCAAGCAGGGAGGTGTGTGAGACCAGTGGGAGGGGTTTTACTCACCTGAGAGCATCACTTGTATTTTGAGAAGGTGTTTGTATTCTCAGAGCAGGTTTGTTCCGTAGCCTTGGGCATGTAATTTCAATATGTAGACACTGATTCATCTCCTGTGTAGGCATGGCAGTTTTCAGTGCTTGTTTGTTTGTTCCTTGTGCAAACAAAAGTTGATGAAAGTGCACCCTTAAAAAAACCAACAACAACAATGGATAAGGTTGGGTTAGTTAGCACCATTTATTATTGTTTTAAGATGTTCTTTTTCCGAATGTAAACATGAAAGGCTCCAGTCTTTTCTGGATCATAGTAATGATTCTGAAACAAAGCAGCGAAAGAAAGCCATCTCTCAAGAAAGCTACTAGCATTCTTTGCCTGTAAAATATGACATTGGAGTCCTTTAGTCTTACACTTCTGAGTGACATCAGTGTTTACACTGAAGCCATCCTGCCAGGAATGGCTCAGGGTTTCACAGTCATCAGAGACAATCAAGGGTGTCATTCCAAATTATTTCTGCTCCCTCATATCCAAGCAGTACATATATGGGACTATTTTGTTTTTGCTTGTGTGGTATAGACGGACAGCTGAAGGGACTCTTATTGGTTCCTTTCATGTTTAGATCCTCATATCCAAGCAGTACGTATATGGGACTTTATTTTGTTTTTGCTTGTGTGGTATAGAAGGACATCTGAAAGGACTCTTATTGGTTCCTTTCATGTTTAGACCATTGCTTGATGCGGTTTACTAACAATTGAGACTGTGTGCAGGTGCAGAGAGGCTGCTAGATGTTCTGCTCCCAGAATTGTATGGCCCCAAATGGTTTTTTTGATGTCTTTCTGTAGACTTCCATTCAATTCATTAATATTGGTCTGTGGGGTTCCTGTGGGTTCTAATCTGCTTGGCTCCCATCTGCATGAAGCTGCTTTGCGAGGAGAGGGTTATTTTGAGGTTGGGAGTACAAAGCCTGTATGCCGGTGCCACCTGGGCCCCTCCTTCTCTCTTCCGCTGCCGCATTTCCTTCCTCTGTCCGGACTAGTCTAAGAAGATGGTAGATGTCCTGGACCAGCCTTCTCCATCTTGGCACCTTTCAGATGTGTTGGACTACAATTCCCAGCAGCTCCAGCCAGTCCAATACATCTGGACGGTATTGGGCTGGAGAAGGCCGACCTTAAACCTATGCTTCACATCAAGTAAAGGTCACTGATGGAAGAAGGCCAACATACTGAAGCTGGGGTTTCATAGAGGTTCTTGATCAGTCGTAAGGTTTTTGCTGGGGATATTTAATCAGATTTGGAAGTATTTGCATATTTTTTTCTGGGAACTCGGGTTTCCTATTTGTAGAGGGGGGAACATTTCAACCAGCTACACAACATGGCTTTTCAGATGTGGCTAGAAACGCCTTTGCTCTATTATGCATGGGTAGCATTGATAGTACCATCTCTTTCTGGAAATTTCCAGCCTAGCTAGGGCAATTCACCCCTTAAGTCTAGTCCAACCTTGGCCTCCAGATGTTCTTGAACTAAAACTCCCAGAAGCCTTCACCACTAGCTGCTGACCAGGATTTCTGGGAGCTATCGTCCAAGAACAGTTCTAAGAAGGAGCCCTGCTGGATCAGCTCAAGGTCTTTCTAGCCCAGCCTTCTCTTCCCGCTTTGGCTAGCCAGTTTCCTGTGGGAAGCCCATATGGATTTTTCCTTCGCCTTGCTACCTCTGGTACTGGGGAAGCAGATTGCTGCATACATAAAACCTAGCTGAGAAATAATTAAACATCAGGACAATAATATGCTTTATATTTGAGTTAAAAAGATGTTTAGTGATCATGAAATGTCCCAGTAAAAAGTTGAATTTTAACAGAGCTGTAACAAGAAATTTTGGTGCATTGGCTTTGCTGCCCTATTAATAAAGTTTGGATCATGTGAGACTGGGATATGTAGGGAGAAGATAATGGAATAAAATGAAGAGGGGTGCTCAGTTGTGTGCATGTGACAGCCTTTAGCTTCCTGCCAAGTCTGACTGTTTTGTGTTTCCTTCTGCCTGGGCAGGAGTGGCTGGCGAAAATATACGTGCTCAGGTTGGGTAGATTCATGCTCGCCTACCAGCAAATTTGGTGCCCTCTGAACTGCTAGCATTTTGGATCAAAGCCTCAGTCACGCCCACCATATTGACAGCTGTGCATTTCAAGCAGGTGCTGGAAGTATATGAGATAGGAGAAAAAAGCATTCTGAACATTTAGGTGCCATTGCCAAGAAGGCCTGTTTTCACTGTGCTGCCTGATGATAGATATAGTCTTGCAGCTTTCAGTTTGGGGAAATATATTATTTTGTTAGATCCCAGATGTTTAGGTTTATTTTGGCTTCATTTCATGTCTTTGATTAATACATGGTGCGGCCTTGTTTTGTTCCAGCCGGATCTTCTCAATTTCAAGAAGGGATGGATGTCCATACTGAACAAGCCGGGAGAGGTAAGGCTAGGGAAATGGGAAGGTCATTTTGCTCTCCTTTTCGTGCCCTCCCGAATTTTCCGCAGCATTCCTTTTAGAAAGAGTAGGAGCGGGAGCTACTTTTGACTTTCCTTCTTAGTTGGTCATGTTGCTTTTTAGACGCTCTTGCTTTGTATAGCATGGCTGGGAAAGCATGGATTAGAAAAAAAACCAAAAAAAATGAACCTCTATAGAGCAGTCTCTAGAATTAATTCCCTTGAGAGTGGAATAAAATGGACATGTCATTGAGAACTTGGGAGGGCTTATCTGAGAATAAATAAAATTTGTGCTACTGCCTTATCCAGAACGCTTTGTGTCTTCTGCAGTCCTAACTGTGTGCTTCTTGTCAAAACCCTTGTTATATCCCATTAGGGGAGAAAATGGGGCAAGTAGTGTCTCCCGAGCTGAAATGGAGCAGACAGACCTGGGCTTGACTTCTTTTGAGCTTCAGTCTGAAAGGCCAAGGGGCGGGATGCAACTACCATGGATACCTTAACATAGCTCTTTCCTCTTGTGTTACCCTTCCCTTCCCTGCCCCCATAATGGTTCCATATGCAGTGGACGAAGCATTGGTTTGTGCTGACAGACTCGAGCCTGCGATATTACAGGGACTCCAATGCAGAGGAGGTAAGGAAGCATCTTGAGCTTAATAATAATAATAATAATAATAATAATAATAATGATGATGATGATGATGATGATGATGATGATGATGATGATGATGATGATGATGCAGTAAAGTCTATTCTGACTTAATGGCAACCCTTTTCAGGGTTTTCCAGAAAGAGAGTACTCAGTCGTAGCTTGCCATTTCCTTCTTCTAGGGGCATGTTGGGATTGTGCTTGCTGAAGAGCACCTAGGCTGGCTGTTCTGGGAGGGGTAGGAGGGGACTGAACCCCCAGTCTCTGCGTCTGTATCCAGGTGTCGAACTCACTGAGTTCTTGAGCCACCTTGACCTGCATAATCTCTCCTACGTGAGGCTGGTCAAGCAACTCGGCAAATAAATGGGAAGAATATGGCATAATATCTTTGTGTTAATATTTAAGAAGAAAATGAACAGGAGGGTGCATATTGAAAGAGAACAATGAAGGACATAACATCCATGTATTATATTTTACATTAACTAAGAAGCATAGGGGGAGAATGGAATTTGCTCACCTTGGAAAGAATTATCCGGGAAGAGTAGGTAGGTTGCATGAGGCTGATGCTGGGTGTGCAGAGCTTTGGAACGGGTTCTGGGAGTTACCGTCTCAAAAAAAGTCACTTTTCCAAACTTGAATATTGTCTGTCAGTGATGTAAGCCCCCTCGGGTCCTTTTTAAGGAGAAAGGCAGAGGAAAAATATTTTTAATAAGCAAACAAACTCCGCTGTGTATTATGCTTTTATGCAGATATTAATGAGCTAAAAGTGTTATTAAACTAGATACTTAGCTTATGGTCTGGAGGTCATTTCAGGCAGATGACCTGGATGGCGAAATCGACCTGCGCTCTTGTACCGACGTGACAGAATATGCAGTGCAGCGGAACTATGGTTTCCAGATACACGTGAGTGCTTAGAGGTCATCGAGGGTTTGGGATGGTCCCCTTGTGTGTAGTTCCCAGGGCACAAACATCTGAGGTCACAAGATGTTGATGCAAGAGGCCATCATGTCTTGATTGTCAGTTAAAAAGGCAAAAGTTCATTGTTTGAGAGAGGTTTTATCTAATTCAGTTTAAATTTCCAGTGAAGACAACATACTTTCTTTATGTCAGAAGCACCCCATACAATCATTAAATATATCACGATATATCATTAAATATATCACGTAATTTTTGCCCAATAACAAGAGAGCATCAGGAACATTTGGGGCAGCCTAATGGGTTTATATTGGAGAGGGAATGCTTAGTCTCATTGGTGTTTCAACTAGAGAAGGGGGAAAAGCACTTCATCAAAATGCATACATGTATTACCTCCTCACAGCCGGCTGTCCCATTCACAGTGTTCTGCATGTAGCCCAGGTCCTTCTCCTTCTGTGGCTGTCCAGTCCAGGCAGGAGCTTGGGCTTCCCTTCCCCACCCCCCCGCCTAGCCAACCACTCAGTGGCTGCGCAGCAAGAATCCCCATGCCACCTCCTTGTCTGAGTGGTTGGCTGTCGGAAGAAGCAGGGAAGGAAAGCCCGAGCACCTGCCTGGACTGGACAGCCATCCAAGAAGAAGGACCTGGGCTGCATGTGGCAGATTGTGAGTGGGACAGCCAGCTGGGAAGGTGGGGGAGGTGATGCACAGCACCTGTGGTGTCACTTGTACAAATTTTGACAAAGTGTGGCAAAGGTCTTTGTGCCTATCTCTAGTTTCAACCTTTGCCTCCAAGCATCTGGCTCAATCATAAGGAATTGTAAGAGCTGAATTCATAAAATTCTGTAGGACTGGATGCCCCTGGACCCTGGTTTGCTTGGAACTATTTAGTTTGATTAAGGTGGTTTTATCCACATTGAAATCCCACTGATCTCACAAACTTCCACTTGGGACCGTACTAAATCCAAGTATTGGCCAGTTACACTTTTTTTAAATTTTTTCTTTATATTATTATTATGTATAAAATCCATCTATGCTTATTTAACATTGTGTCACCTGGGTTCAGCTTATAATCATTTGTTAATACAACTACAATATATATTAAGCTCTTAATCTATACAACGTGCTTCTAACCATTGATAAAACAAGTTCCATGTTTGATAATATTCTGCATCTTCCTTTCCTTTGACTGTACTAAATCCAAGTATTGGCCAGTTACACTTTTTTTAAATTTTTTCTTTATATTATTATTATGTATAAAATCCATCTATGCTTATTTAACATTGTGTCACCTGGGTTCAGCTTATAATCATTTGTTAATACAACTACAATATATATTAAGCTCTTAATCTATACAACGTGCTTCTAACCATTGATAAAACAAGTTCCATGTTTGATAATATTCTGCATCTTCCTTTCCTTTGACTGTACTAAATCCAAGTATTGGCCAGTTACACTTGTAGGGGTCAGCGACGTGCATCAGCCCCATTCAGATCTCTTTCTGTAACTGGGAGCAAAGTATGTGACTTTCTGAAATATATGGCCAAGCCATGTGTGGCATTTCTCTTTCAGACTAAAGATGGCGTCTTCACGTTATCTGCAATGACATCAGGAATCCGACGGAACTGGATTGAAGCTCTGAGGAAAAGTATACGCCCTGCCAGTGTGCCAGATGTCACAAAGTATGTGTCCTGGGAACATCACTTATTATCACCACACCATCACTTATTATCAGTATCCCTTATTTCTTGTCAGTTTTTCTGCAGCTGAGCATGTGTCCCCCACACTGCTGTTAGGACAGTACCACTGATGGTTTCAGACAATTTGTGCTCAAGACCATCTTTTTTAGTAGGAAACTTACTTTTATGGACTACAATATCCACAGTCGTCTAGCCAGAACACTCTGCAGGGACCTTTCATCCAAAAAAGTAACTTTTCCAGGCTCTTGTATTATAAGCAGCTGTTGTGATTTCATTAATGGGTGTAGCAGAAATCATAAATACAGTAAAGTCAAATACACTTCACCAGTTTCATGAACATCTGTGTGCCCATTTTGCTAGGAATATACTTTCTATTAATTTAGTTTTTTCTTCTCAGGCCATTGCAGTGTTTCAGGCTGCAGTCCTATGTACTTTCCTTGGAGTGAGTTCAGTTGAACTCTGGAGGGGTCGTGCTTCTGAGTCATCATGCCAATGACACCCAACTCTATCTCTCCCTTCCATTGAGTTCCAAGGAAGCTGTCTTGGCTCTAGATCAGTGTCTGATGTCAGTAATGGGCTGGATGAGAACAAAGAAACAGAAACTTTGCTCAAGTTTGCAGCTTGGGTGTACTCCTGAATTCGTCCCTGAGCCTAGATGCCCAGGTTTCAGCAGTGATCAGTAGTGCATTTGTACAATTAAAATGGGTGCACCAATTGTACCTATTCCTTGACATGTCTGATTTGACTACAGTGATGCATGCCTTAGTTACATCCTGTTTGTGTTACCGTAATGGGGCTGCCTTTGAAGATCATTCAGAAACTTCAGCGGGTACAAAATTCAAACAGCCATACTGTTGATTTGAGCCGTTATAGGGAGCATGTAATGCCCCTGCTACAACTGCACTGGCTACAGATCTGTTTCTGGCTACCCAAATGACTATACCTCCCCATATAAGCCTTCTTATATGGCTTAAGATAAGATCTTGGCTCTTAAGATCATCGGAGGAGGCCCTCCTGTCAGTCCCATTGCTAGCACAGGGATGTTTGATAGGGAATGCAAGAGAGGGCATTTTCTGTGGCAGCTCCCAAGTTGTGGAATGCTCTCCCTTGGGAGATTTATTTATTTCATTTATTTATGCTACTTATATATTGCCCCATTAGTGCACAGCACCATTCTGTGTGGTGTACATATAGGTTAGGTTGGCCCCCTCTCTTTTATCTTTCTGCAGATAGCTGAAGACCCACCTCTTCAGATAGGCTTTTAACAATCATGACTCAGTCCCTGTATACAGTTTTTGAGTTTTTGAAGCTTTAAATTATTTTAATCATTCAGAGTATTTTAATTTCTATGATAGTGTGATTAATTTTAATGCATTAATCTATTTTTTTTAATTCTATTTTGTTAACACTGTAAACCACCTCGAATCCTCTTATTGGGAGAAAGGCAGCCTATAAATAAGACAGACAGGCAGATATGCAAATAAATAAATGTATAGAATTGCACTACCAGATTGTTAAGCTATGTGACTGACAAGTTGTCAGGATAACCAGACTTTTGATGCAGCAAACCATTGGCCACTGCTGGTTGAGGGATTTGCAGTCACTACCTCTCAGTCCATTAAACAAAGTGGGACAGTATAGGGTTCATGCATGGTCTAGTGGTGATAGGAAATTGTCAGAGCTTGGAAGATTTCTTTTTTGGACAATAATTTTAAGAATCATTGAGTCAGTGTAGTTAGTAGATTAAAACTTTTGGAAGTTTTGCATGCATATACTCATATTTTAAGTGTTCACTTATTTATGTTATAGCCTGTCTTTCTTGCAGAGCTGATATCCAGCTCTGAGGATTGGGTACAGCTACACACTGGTGTTGGATAACTTGTGCGGGCAGATTTCCCAGCTTTTGAGTGCACCATTCTCAACTGTGTGTTTGTACATGCCTTCCCCCCTGCTTCTCTAGGCTCTCTGATTGCAACAAGGAGAATGCCTTCCGCAGCTACGGGTCTCCCAAGAGCTCTTTCCGGTCAGAGGAGCAGCGACCCAGCACTGGACCTGAGGTCATAGCCAAGGGCAGTGGCAGCAGCCGGAAGGCAGACAGCCAGCGCCATGCCTTTGACTACGTGGAGCTGTCCCCCTTGCAGCAGGGCTCCCCTTTGAATCAGGGCTCCCCACAGCGGACAAGGGGAAGCACAAGAGCTACAGACGGCAAGCGTGAAGAGCTGGAACGGGACCTCGCCCTCCGCTCCGAGGAGCGCCGGAAGTGGTTTGAGTCTCCGGCTACTGGCGTCCTGCAGACAGATGGCCCCGTGGGGGATTTCGGTCCTAAAACTGGGGTCCAGGACTCCGCGGGGATGCCACTCACTGAGGCTCAGAGGAATCGGCTGAGTGAAGAAATCGAGAAGAAATGGAAGGAACTGGAACGTCTGCCCCTAAAGGACTCCAAGCGGGTACCTCTGATGGCGCTGCTGAACCAGGGCAAAGGAGGTCGTGAGGATGCCAGCGAGGCACTAGAGAAAGAGGTAGAATTCATCCCAGGGGTAGAAAAAGGGAGCAGTTCTCTTTTTAGGAGCAAATTAACAAAAGAGTCTTGCAACAGCTTAGGACAAATTTTGCTTTATTTTATTTTAATTCACATCTGTCCTGCCTTTTTTTTCAGTAAAGGAACAGATGATGGCACAGAACAATTTAAAATACCCATGTATAAAATCACAATAAATTAAGACGTCATCATTAAAATAGAATTAAACCAAAAGAATGTAAGAAACTTCATTAGTTTTAATGTTTTAAAAGTTAGAAACCAATTTAACATACCTGATTACCAACAAAAATGCTCAAAATATGCTGCATCCCCTTTTAAAAGTCAAACAAAACAATTTGGTGTCAAGCTTGGGAGGAACAGAGAGAGATCTGTAGACCTTCAGATGAAGCTCTGGTACAAAAGAACTCCCATGAGCCCTAGCCAGCGTGGCCAGCGATGAGGAATGCTGGGAGTTGCAGTCCAACAATTTCTGAACAGTTGCGCTTTGCCCCCTGACTCCCTGTTCTAGGAGGTTAGATGATGGTTTCCAGGTCTGATGAAGAAAAGCCTGATTCTCAGAATTCATTGAGGTTCTTTCAGTGAAAGCTGGAACTGGAACTTCATCTGCTAGTGTCTGATAAGCATGTTGCACTAATGTGGATTTTCGATTTTTTCCCCTTTCATTTACCATGGCTGCTCTTCCTTACTGTAGATAAAGAAACCCAGGAAAGGGCAAAAACAGAGTCTTTCCTATCCATCTAGTGCTCATAAATGTTTTTTTTAAAAAAGCAGAGCAAAACTTGGTGACTTATTTTACAGCAGAGTCCTTATTCTTCCTCCTCCTCCTCCTCCCTTGTTTTCAGCATTTTGTTTCAGGCTTATACATAGAGATAATTGGAAATGTTTCCTGCATTGATAGTTCCACAGATGTACCATAGTGCTTGAAAGCTGTTGGCCCGAAATGTTGTCCAAAACATGTTGGAACTGAGTAATCTCAGTGACGGATGGTTTCCCAATCTTGTGACTCCTCTCGTAAATGCACTGCTGTGTAATTAAATCAGGCAAAACCAAAGCACAAATAAAAAATAGAGAAGACAAAAACATTGTGGTACATTAAAGACTGCTATATTTTAACGTGGGTTTTTGTGGATAAGAAGTAGACTTGTCTATGAAAGCATGCATTAAAATTTAGAAATTAGTCTATAAGGTGCTACAACATTTTTGTCGTCTTCATTTTTTTTATTGTACTTGGGGGGTTTTTGCCTGATAGGCTAGCCCAGACTAACACGGCTACCTCTTCCAAAACTATTGCCATGTGTTTCCTCAGCTCTGCGGAGTGGCTAGAACAGCTAGAAATAGTAATAATAGTGGTCGCAGCAATAACAGTAGTTGTGATCTAGCACTATGTGCATGCATGCTGGCTTATAGAACTAAGCTTGAGATGGCCCATTGCCTGGATTTTATATGGCTTGGAACATGAAGACATTTTTAAGTTAATTAAACTGATGTAACTTTGTGTCAGTCTTGCCATAGCGTTGTGCAACCTTCCCTCTAATTTTCTGCCCCGTTGTGCGGGAGCCACGCTCCATGTGCGCAGGGGTGGGAGGGGCTTTATTTGAAACGGGAAGTAAACAAACCAGCTGCCCATGCATAGCCCCAATGGAGCTCTGGCCGAACGAGCGAGCGAGCGAGCGAGCACACACCTTAGAGTTAATGTTGGCTCTGTGGTATCCTCTGGATCACTGGTTCTTAACCTTGGGTTACTCAGGAGTTTTGGACTGCAACTCCCAGACGCCTTCACCACCAACTGTGCTGGCTGGGGTTTCTGGGAGTTGCAGTTCAAAAACATCCGAGTAACAAAGGTTAAGAACCACTGCTCTGGATTATTATAGGCAATCTTTATTTGCTGCTTTCATATCCCTAATGACCGCAGGGTAGTATACATGGCTTTCATTTTCCTCACTGCATTCTCACAACAGCTCTGTTCGGTTGGCTAAGCTGAGAGAAAGCATGGCTGGGCTAAGGTAGCTCGTTGAATTTAATAGCTCAGCAGGGACTTGAATCAGCTCTTCCAGGTCTCAAACCAACACTCTGGCTGCTCTGCCGCATAGCTTGTCAATGCTTGTGGAGAGGGGTTATGGGGTGTGTCTGTACGTGTGCCTGCCTTGACCTGTCTAATGAGCATGTATTAGGTTGATTGAATATTAGTGCCTTTTTCCTTCAGTGTGCCTAAATCTCATTTTTTGGGGACACAGGTCCAGCTGTTGAGGTCACAACTGGAGTCCTTGCGTGCCCAGAATGAGGCAAAATCTCACAGAGATGTGCAAATACCTCGAGGTTACATCTCTCAGGTAATGGCATAACCTGGCATGTTCTTCTCCGTCCTCTTTCCCATTCTTCTTTTTCCACCCCTTTCTCCAACTGTACAGTGAGAGTAGAGAAATGAAAGCTGGGGTCACTCCTCTACCTCTGTTTACTTGTCCTCTGTAGATTTATGGCTGCCATAGCAACCGCAATCAGACCCATCTGTAATCAATGTTAATTATATATAGCTGCCACATGTAAGGATCTCCACCTCGCATAGGGTTGAAGCTGCTGGTCCAGAGCAGAAAGGAGAAAATTGATACAAGAAGAAATGCTACAAGGGCTTCTGTTCCAGGCATACATAAGTCCAACGTAGTTTTAGAAATTTTTCTTGATATGCAAGGTATTTTGTTGTTATATGCCATCAGATTGTTTCCAACTTACGTTGACCCTATGAATGAACCTCCAAAAATTCCTGTTGTTAACAATCATGTTTTAGACTGATGGAATGTCCTCTGTGGTTGCCTACATGGAACTGCAGTGCATAGGACTCAGCTGTTGTATTGGGCTGGGACTCAGGAGACCCAAGTTCAGGCCCCCAACGGGTCACCTATATTGCCTTGAGCTCATCAACACAAAATGTCATTACCTGACTTGGGAAAAAGGAAGGAGGCCAGATGGGGATCCTCCTCCCTTCCCTCAAACAGAAGAGTGTCAGGGATACCAAGGATTGCCTTGTGATTTCACCAGGCTGGATAGCTCAGTAGTTTGTATCTGGTTGTAGAGCCAGAAGTTGGGAGTTCGATTCCCTACTGTGTCTCCTGGGAGAAGAGTCAACCTGTGTAGCTGTAGGCAAGCTGCACAATCCCTGGGTACTTCCAGAAGTAGGGAATGGGAAGACTGCTTTTGAGTATTCTCTTCATAGAAAACCCTGGAAAAGGTTGCCATAAGTTATAGTTGACTTGATGGCATTCAATTGAATACTAGCATTGAAACTGAAAGTCCAAACCAGCCTTCCCCAACATGGGTCTTTCTGGACGTTTTGGACTACAGTCCCCATTGTCCTTCACCATTGCCAGCTGAGGCCCATGGATGTACTAGGTTGAACTGTGGGGCAGGACCCACACTGAGGAAGGCTTGTAGGATCACTCTGTGCATTCACGTTTACCTTCCCTGGAAGAACTGTTTGCACAGATTACTCGGTTTTCCCTGCATGAAAGATCCTGGCCAGGGTGGCTACTAGTTTGGCTGATAAACACGGGGGAATGATTTCATCCCGTTGTATTTTAGTCTTATATTAGTGGTACAAGGACAAGAGCCATTAGAACATTTTTTTAATTCTGAGTAAATTATTTAACAAAGCTGAGACCAGAGTGAATGGGGCAAATGGCAAGAAGGCAGATTTCAGCTAAATGTTTGATGGGGGAACAGTCCGCTTTGGGGATGTAGTAGGCTTTTCTTCCCTTAAGCTGAGGCTGAAAGCCATCTCTTAGAAATGTGTGCTGTGGTGACATCCTGCACTATAGACCATGGAGTGAGAAGAGGTTGGCTTGGATGACCTCAAGAGTTAGCTTCCAGTTTGAAAATTCTGTGGGACCTGTTATGGCCATGGTCAAATGCATGTTTCTAGAAACAGAGGTGGGGTCCTTGCACATCATTGCTTTCCAGAGGCCACTGTTTTGGTTGGTGTTTTGCCTTTGTAGTGTTCTTTTATCAGCCAAGTTCCTTTTGCTTGAGTTACAGCTTTTTCACTGCCAGTGTTACACAACCTCTGTTGTTTCTTTTGGGGAGAAAAACGGTTGATGAATTCATGGCAGAATTAAAAATTTGTATGTCAGTACTAGGGTGTGAGCAGCCCCCATTTTGAGGCTCTTTGGGTCCTGTTTTGTCCTTTGCAGTGACAGTTTCTCTTTTGTCTTAGTTTGTTAGTGATGCCGTTTAAATAAACCTTAAATAAACCCTAGTGCAATAGATCACCAAAATTCATTCTATGCTTGCTTGTGTATTATTTATTTGTTTGTTTGTTTGTTTCATGCTTGCTTGTGTACTATTTATTTATTTATTTATTTATTCATTCATTCATTCATTTATTTATTTATTTATTATTAGATTTCTATCCCGCCCTTTTAGACGAAGTCTACTCCAGGCGGGTTCCATTAAACATTATAAGCTAAAACAGTTAAAAACAATTCAAAACAATAGTGATTAGTAATGCTAAGTAATGCTCAAGATGGGAAAACAGAAAATTATAATAAAAATAAAATCAAGTATTGACAGGAGGGAAGGCCTGCCTAAAGAGCCAAGTTTTTATCTATAAGCAGGCAGGGAAACTAATCGTCCGCTCACACACTCACCAGCCCATGTCCATGTGTCAGGGTGGCATGACCGAAGTCCACCACATTTTTCCTGTCAAGAAACTATTGCCTGTCCTGTTCAAGAAGTTGAAAAGTCTTTTGACAGGACGGAAGGGAAAAGGGATGGGGTGAAAGCTGTTCTTGCAAGGATATTGATTCCTGGGAACTCTGATGAACCCCACAAGACATCATGATTCTGGATCACATTTTCTCTACCATGATAGGTCAGTCACATTGATCTCTATCAGGTGTAAATGATATTTGGTCTGCTACTGTCACTCCTGAAAGGAAAGTCACCTTCATTTGGGGTAGGAAGGATAGGTCAATGATTTAGGTATCTGGCTGTGGAACCCAACAGTTAGGAGTTTGATTTCCCGCTGTCCCTCCAGGAATAAGAGCCAGCCTATATGGCTTTGGGCAAGCTGTGCAGTCCTAGGATGCCCTCAGAAGAAGGGAATGTCCCAGAATGCTCTGCTTTATTGTCTGACCAAGACAAGGATTGTGTTATTTTAAGAAGAGTAGGTTTAAAAATAACAGCCCTGAAACCTCTAATGTTATTGATTATATATGGAAAAGAGGAATACTTATGTATTTATTCATGATATTTTTACTCTGCCTTCTCCATAAAAAGGACCCAAGGTAGCTTACATCAGTGGGTCTTAACCTTTGTTACTCGGATGTTTTTGAACTGCAACTCCCAGAAACCCCAGCCAGCACAGTTGGTGGTGAAGGCTTCTGGGAGTTGCAGTCCAAAACTCCTGAGTAACTCAAGGTTAAGAACCAGTGGCTTACATCATTAAAAGACAAGATTTAAAGCTTAGAACATTGAGTGTAAAAAAGGAGTTTTCATCATTAAAATACAATACTAAAGCTAAAAACAATAAGTATATAAATATTAAAAAGAAAAAAACAAACACCATTCTGAGAAATGGTATACACAAGCAGTACTGAAAACACAGTCAAAGCAGTAATACATAACAGTCCATCTAAAAATCACACTCAGGTAGCAGTTAATTTTAAAACATGGTAACAAATACTTCAGGACCTCTTTTAACTGCACAATCAGGAGCACTGGGAGCACTTGAAATTCATGTTGGTAATTCTGAGCTGAAGTCCCCATGAAACCTTGGTTAGCAAAGGAGTGTGGAAGTTCCAGTATTAACTCAGAAATTGCTAACTCTGAGGCATGCCCAGAATCTATAATTGTTTTGAGACACCCTGAAGTCTACAATGTAAACAAGATATAGTCAGCATCAATAAGTATAACTATTTTAGCAAAAATACTTGAGGAAGATAAGTTTCTGGGCTGACTCTCTGAAACAAAGTGATCTTTTGGTTGTTGTGGGTTTTTCGGGCTCTTTGGCTGTGTTCTGAAGGTTGTTCTTCCTGACGTTTTGCCAGTCTCTGTGGCCGGCATCTTCAGAGGACAGCACTCTGTTGGACACAGAGGGAGGGAAGCAATATCCCTCGTTGGGCTATTGCTTCCTTCAATCTGTGTCCAAATATCTTGAAGACCTGTCTAGGATTTAATGAAATGTTGAAGCAAAAGTGTGAGTGAATGCAATGCCCTGGACATCGAGCTGATTTCTCCTTTGAAAACTTGTATGAGGAGACTGGTCTCAGAAATCCCAAACCTCAAGATTTGTCTTGCAGTGAGAATATTGCATATGATATTACAGTATATATTATACAGTATTATTATATATTATATAGATGGATCTTAGAAATAAAATCTTAGATATGCAAGGTGGAATCTTAAGACAAGTGGTTTATAGTGTCTGTATCTTTAGTGCTCACTTTTGCTCAGCTTTTTGTTTTTGACATATTTTCCTCCATTGTTCATAAATCAACACATATAAAAGTTTATTCTGTCTCTGTCCAAAGCCCCTGTGGGAATTTTTACACTATGAATCCCATAACCTTAGCCAGCAGATGAAATGATTAGGGCGGAAGGTTATTTTAATCCCCAGATTTCTGGTGCTGGGTTTGGGGAGGCTGCTACAGTCTCTCTTTTTTCAATGTGAAGCAAAATTCATAGCACTTTCCAATGATTACTTAAGATGCCCTTACAAACAGACAGCTGGGTGGATAGCTTAGTGGTTTAGGTATCTGGCTGGGGAGCCAGACATTGAGAGCTCAATTGTCCACTGTGCCTTCTGCAAGTACAGCCAGCCTGTGTGGCCTTGGGCAAGCTGCACAGTCCCAGGGCTCCTCCAGAAGAAGGGAATGGTAAGCCACTTCTAAATATTCTCTGCCTTGAAAACCCTGAAAGGATCGCCATAAGTCAGAGTTGACTTGGCAGCACATGATTATTGTTGCAGAGCAGACAGTAATACAGCATTTGGAGAATACAAATGTCTAGCTATTTATACTCTATTGTGTAAGAATGTGTTCAGGATGTGCAGCTAAATTTTTTTATATGACAGCAAATGCACAACCATCGGTGGGGGGGGGAATCTCCAAAGTTTGTGGTGTTTTGGCTTTGGTCCTCCAGACCAACCCCTTGATTTTCAGAGCCTGGAAAAGTTACTTTCTTGGACCACAAGTTTCAGATTCCCCCAGACACCATGGCCAGGGGATGTTGAGGCTTGTAGTCTAGAAGAGAAACTTTTCCAAGCTCTCCCAGTTCTCTAGTTCTTTCTAAATCTACTACTAGGGTTGGCAACCGCTTATCATTCTCTCCTTCCTTTTCCCCTCACACCCGAAATTTTGACTGGTAGGATGCGTGTGAGCGCAGTTTAGCCGAGATGGAGACTTCCCACCGGCAGGTCATGGCAGAGCTGCAGCGGCACCACCAGCGGGAGATGGAGCGGTTGCAGCAGGAGAAGGAGCGGCTTTTGTCTGAGGAGGCAGCTGCCACTGCAGCAGGTAGAAGCTTGTGTATTTCTGTATGGGGGGTGGGGGGGTCTCCTTGATAAGGACTAAAGCATTGTTTTCTGTACAGTGAACATTTTGGTAACTTGAGTCAGAGTGGTGAGATAGCAGACTAAGAGACCTGAGTTCAAATTCTCCCCTGGGTGACCTTGGGCCAACTAACCTCCCCCAGGTTAATCTACTTTATGTGGTTCCTGGGAGGAAAAACAGTCTCTGCCATCCAAGAACTTGCCAGAGGGAAAAGAAGGAGAATACTTTATTTAGCTTATTTAATTATACACACACACACACACCATTAGCTGGGTAGGTAGCTCGGTGGTTTAAGTATCTATCTGTAGACCCAGAGGATGGGAGTCCCATTTCCCCACTGTGCCTCCCAGAAGACACAGCCTGTGTGGCCTTGGGCAAGCTGCACAGTCCCAGGGCACCCCCAGAAGAAGGGAAGGGTAAATCACTTCTGAATAATCTCTACCTGGAAAATTCTGAACAGGGTTGCCATAAATCAGAATTGACTTTACATCATCAGGTTTTAAAGATCATATCATTTTATACATACAAATCTTGTGTGTTTGTGTGTGCGCACGCGCGCCATATCAGAAGTTGAAGACATCACCCTCCAGAAGTTGCTGAATTGCAGCTCTCATCAGTTTTGCCTATTGACCATACTGCCAGGGGAAGATATACGTTACAGTCCAGCACTGCCTAGGGGAACTGGTTACCATACAGTTTATGGTGTTGGGTCGATAAATAACAATAAAGCTTTTATCCACCAGACTTCTGAATTTATGAACCTCATTTGTTCATTGAGCCTTTTACTGGCAGTGGTTGTTAGAGTCCTTAAGTTTAAGTTCTTCCTTGCTAGCTTTTCAACCAAATCCTTTAATCTGAAAATACAAGGAATTGAAGTTGGACTGTGTGCATGCAAAAGCATGTGCTCTCCCACTAACCTACACCTCCCTAGCCAAGAAATCCTTGGTTGTTCTAGTCAGGAAGAAAATAATGCATTGCATTATAAGTCTCTCCTCTGTCTCTGGTTTTCTCCTCCATGCTGCCCGGCCTAGCCATTGAAGCACTGAAGAAGGCGCACAGGGAGGAACTCAACAAAGAGCTCAACAGGACACGTAGTTTCCAGAAGGGGGTATCAGACGTGAATACTCTCCAGCAACAACATCAGTAAGCAACTCCTTTGGAACAACCTTTTCTCTCTGGACTGCTGAGCTGAGAGAGATGTAGAGAATTATGTGTTACCATGGTCCAGAAAAATCAAAATCCCATCCTATAGATTGCAATGCCATTGAGCTTAATGAAAGAGAAGAATGAAGGATTGTGCCCTTTGCATTTCTGAATATCTAGTTACCTTAAGGGTCAAGCCAACATGCTGTAGAATTAAACAGGAGTGTCCATTTTCACTGGAATATCTCTTTGTTCTCCTGGAGGTTGACCACTGATTGTGAGACACCTGGCTTGTTGCATCAATTATACAGAACCTTTTGTTTGAGACAGCTCTGTTGCTCCCCAGAGGGAACCAGCAACAAGAGCTGTTGGGGGCATCCAGACCCTGGAAGTCTGGAATGCTAGGGAGTTGGTAGATTTTGCATTAGGGTCTGGGATGGGTTTGATCTCCTGGTGGCAACCACCTCCTCTGTGCTACAGGTCCGATGTGGAGTCTCTGAAGCGGGAGCTGCAGGTGCTTTCGGAGCAGTATTCCCAGAAATGCCTACAGATCGGGGACCTTGTGCAGAAGGCAGAGGCGCAGGAGCAAACACTGCAGCACTGCCAACAAGAGGGAAAGGAGTTGCTGCGGCAAAACCAGGCAAGCAGTTCATTGGGTCTCCAAGGGGGGAAGAATGGATGGTCAATCTAGAACAGGGGTGGAGACCCTAGGCCTTGGAGACCAGTCTGGTTTTCCTGCAGTGCCATGCCTGGACCTGTTCAGATGTCCATGTCCATTTGCCCATGCTGCCATCCTTTGGTGGCTTCTCAGCCCTTGTATGGGAATTTTGTCCTAACGATTGATATAGCTACTGGCACTTGGAGCTTTAAGCTAAAATATGGTTGGTAGTTTTGATCATATCCTCCACGTGCGCCCTGTTCCATCCAGCTGATAGTTGTAAAAATATAATCTTTTTTCCTCTTCTCTTCCTACACATGGCTAAATTTGGTTTCTGTGGAATGGGCCTTATAATGATCTCCTTTAAATGGGAAGGTAGATGACACAGAGATGCATTCATGATGAGCGTAGCCCATTCGCTTCTCAACTCCTTTGCTGATTTTAAGAGCCACGGTGGGCATGGATCTGGAGAAAAAGAGGTGGCTTTGCAGTGTGCAAGTGCCTTGCTCATATCCTCAGGCCCTGCCAGCTAGAACTGATCCAATTTAACCTGGCTAGACAATGCATTGGATATCTTGGTCTGGTCTACTGGCATCAGCAGGGATGGCAACCAAATGTCTCCGCTTGAATCTGTAAGATTCTGAGTCAAGTTGTGCAGTAAAATAATCCAGGCTGTAATAAAACTGGAAAGGACACAACAGTTGGCCTTTCTAAGCAGTCGGTCTGTTCCAGAGTCATGGAAGTGTTTTGTCACTCTCACACCTCTTTGTGATTGTTGCACCTACATTTTTTCAGTGGCTTACAGTGATGTGTGCTGATTTTTACCTGAGAATTTTGTGCTGTATGGAAGGAATGACCTTGGAAGTCATCTGGTCCAACTCAGAACTTAAAAAGATTTGCTGACAGAGAATTGTTGGAAGTTGTTGTACAGAAAATACACATTTTTTTCTGAGTTGTAGTCTGTTCACGGCTGCTTTTAAATCCAGAATTGGCAGCTTCCAAAGACCTGGAGGGCCTCACATCCTCCTCTTAACACCCCTGCCCTTCCAGAACACCCAGGAAAAATATTAGACCCAAAAATGCAAATGATGATTTTCCCTTTATGGCTAAGGTTGCCCTCTCTGGCCCTTAAATTGCCTTTTTAAAAAGAAATAGGAAGTGACTTAGACACTTTTGAGGACAGTGCTTTGGCTTTAAGGGATGAGGAAGCCTGGTTACCATATTTGTGGGGAAGGAGAAGAAAGCTGTGTGCAGCCTCCAGACTTCAGTTTGCCAACCTCAGCCTTAAATTGGAATTCTTGTCATCCTTGCTCTCAGGAGTTACAGAGGCGTCTGTCTGAGGAGATTGGGCAGTTACGGGCCTTCATTGCAGCCCAGAGCTCACGGGATGGTGCTTCACACAACAACGAAAGAAGCTCTTGTGAGTTAGAGGTGAGACCGGTCGTTGTGCTGTGCCCACTGTTTGGCACATGTGTTAGATATGACATCTAAAAGTTTTCTGCTTTCAGAGTGCTAAGGGATGAGTGATCAATTGGAAAGGAAGACATTTAGTGGCTGGAAAGAGAGAGAACGATGCAGTTGCCAGCAGGAACTGTGTTAGGAATAATTTCATAATGGGCAGAACAATCCAGAAAATAATGAGAGTGATTTGCCTGAAGTGTGTGTCTTGACTTCAGCCTTAGTGCAAGAGTTAGAGGGCCTAATGCTGTGACTTCACCAGACAGCATCCATCTAAATTCCAGCCTGCCTTCAGAGGTGAATGCCCACATGGGCTCTGAGTGCCCGTGGGTCAAAATAATTGGAGCTTCAAGTATGCTGAAGTCCATTTGTGTCTTTGCAACTTCTGTGTTAGCATAGCATTGTCCAGTGCAAAAATCTTTTGATGGAGCAGCTCTTCCTTCCCTCCCCAAAGGCTTGGTTGCTCTACCTCTCTATGGTAAAACTGATTCCAGCACCACCCTTTTGCTACATCTACGGTATGCTGTTCTCGTAACTGGCACAGCTCCCTCTGTTTATTTCTGGAAAAAGCTAGTATACCAACCAGGATCCTCAAGCCCCCCCCCCAATCCTTCAAGGCTGTCAGTAAACACTTGGATTCCTCTCACTTATCAGTGCAGTGGATCTTCCAACTGACACTTAATATGCAATTCTACAGCACATGCCTAGGAGTCCTTAGTAGGCCACAAGGAAGCAGTACAGTAATTATGAATGAAGGCAAACACTCAGTTTTAAAAATCTGTCAATGCTTGTTTGGTTAGAAATGCTTTTATAAATAAAAACATTGTAACTAAATTTGTCTTGGATATTTGAATCTGAAAATATTTGAATCTAGAATGATTGTTTGCTTAGGAAACAGGAATGTGCACCTCGCTAAACAGAAATTTAAATCTGGAGTAAATGTAAAATACAGGGTTTCTTTGTACAGCTCCTTTAGCCTATGTTAGCCATGGATAGATAAGACAGTGCTGTATCAACTTGTTAGCTGCTTGTCTACATGGTGGGATGGCCCAGAGCATCTGACAGTCTCGTGCTGAGTTAGATTGCAGTGCTACAGCAAATAAAATCTTACAGTGCCATGCTAATGAAATGCCAACATCTAACTTGAATTCAGAACATGGAAGTAAATCCAGAAATATGAGGAAAGTTTCTTCTTTAAACTACAACTACCGGAATTTCCCTGTCAGCATAGCCACTATTGCAGTCCAAAGAATCAGCTTTTCTAAGCTTTGCAACAGATGCATAAACATCTGTCTGAACTAATGGAACTGCATTTTGGCATGGATTCCCTTTCCTGCTACAGTTGTCAACAGGCTGTGAGATGGTTATGTAAAGAAGCCCCCCCAGCATCCACTCTTGTACTTCAAGTGGATTATTTGTTGAATCTGGTTGTGCTTGAGCCAGCTAAGAGTCCTTTCAAACCACTTCGTTTGTTTGTAAAGCGATGGTGTAAATTCCGACTCTGTGCTGAGAATGAAGGCATTTCGGTCTCTCATGCTGTTCAGGCCACTTAATTTTGCCACTTTTTCAAGGACATTAAAAGACTGTTGTTTCTTATTACAAACGATCTCTCCAGGAAATGCCAAAAGATAAAACAATTCCCTTACATATTTTCTCTTACTATATTTTCTTTTCAGGTGCTGCTCCGAGTGAAGGAGAATGAACTCCAGTATCTGAAACAAGAAGTCCAGTGTCTTAGGGATGAACTTCAAATGATGCAAAAGGTAGATTTGTTAGGAGCAAGTTGGATATCCTTCTCTTATAGAACAGAAAGTGAAGTATTTCTTGCTCAAGGTGTGTAAATCAAGAGTGGAAAATCTGTGTCCTTCCAGTAATACAGTAGTGCCACGCTTAACGAGCGCACCGTTTAACGACGAATTCGCGATCGCATTGCGATGTTTTAGGTGGCAAAACATTGCATTGTGATGATCGGTAAGCGTTTCGCTTACCGATCTTCGCATTGTGATGTTTAGAAAACAGCTGATCGGCGGTTCCAAAATGGCCACCGGATCAACAAAATGGCCGCCCACAGCGTTTTCGCACCGATTCCTCGCTTACCGAGGTGGCGAAAATGGCGGCCCTATGGAGGATTCCTGCTTA